GGGGGGGAGCCCGGACACCTGGGTCCCACCCCGCCGGGAGCGGGAGGGGGAGGGGGAGGGGGAGGCACTCACCATCCATCAGCTCCTGCTCCAAGGGGCTGGGCCGGCGCTTGAGGCGGCTGCTGGGATAGAGGCCGAGGGAGCCGGAGGTGCCAATGTAGACGCTGAGGAGAGGGGCAGAGACATGGGGTGAGGGGCCGGGCCAGCGGGGGCACATGGCACCCTGGGGGGGGCGAGGTAGGGGCGGAGTCACCATGCAGCCCCGCCCCCTGTCAATCAGCCCCGCCCTGACACCCCCACCATGGCACATTAAAGCCATGCCTGGGGGGGGGGGGGGGGTCACACACCCCTCAAACTGTCCCATCCCCCACCCCCAACACTGGGTCAGACTCAGGGGATGGGGCAGGACAGGAGCCAGAGCGAGGGGTGCTGTGGGGGAGGGGTTACACCCCCGGGGCCCCTATATGGGGGTGGGGTATTATCAGCCCTGAGACTTCTCACCCCCCCAAAAAAACACCAGCCCCCCCGCCCCAGCGCCCCCCAGCACTGACCTGTTGAGGAAGGGGTGGGGGTGGTACTGCGGGGGCAGGAGCGGGCTCTGAAGGCCGGCGAGCGGCATGGGGGCCGGGGGGGGCGCCGGGGGCAGGGCTGAGAGCTGCACCAGGGACGGGATGGGGTGCAGGGCCGTCAGCTCGGTGGTGGGCACGTCAGGGGGGGGCGGGCGCTTGGTGTGCCCCAGGCTGATGACGGGGACGTCGGGGGGCAGCGGGGCAGGGGCTGGGGGGGGCGGGCTCCCCTTGGGGGCGGGGGGCGAGGCAGCGGGCGGGGGGGCCGGGGGGGGGCTGGCAGGGGGTGACGGGGGGGGCAGGGGGCTGCAGGGGGGCGGGGGGGTCCTCAGCTTCTCCATCATCTTCCAGGCGCGGCGCGGCACCTCCGGCTACAGCCAGGACTCATCTGCGGGGACAACACAGGTGGGGTGAGACCGAGGCGGGGGCCCTGGTTCCTGGCCCCTCCCTGAGCCCCCCAGCCCAGTACCCCCCCCCGTCCCTGATGGCCTGGAGCAGACCCATGGGCCTGTCCAGGCCGGTATCCCTCCAGGCCGCTCCTGATCACACCAAAGAGCCTGTTTTTGAAGA